TACAAACTAATTGAAAGAAAACAATTTTACAAAAATATTTAAATTAAAAAAAAAAAAAGAACAAAACAAAAGGAAAAAACCAAGCTCTTTAACTTTAAGAAATTACTTGATTGGCAACTAGCAATCACCCTAGGGAACCATACTCAATGAAGTAGATTTTCATGCATTCACACAATGACTACTACGTTTACAACCACTGAATGAAGATCAGACAACTCAGACTTTGAATGTGTAATAAAATAAAGAATTCATCCAATCTCCATCCTCATCTGACATTTCTCAATTGCTGAATGCGCAAATCATGAAAAATAAGGAATGAAGGGAATCCAGAACAGTGTGGGATCTGAATTCCCTACATTCATTATTTAACACATGCATGCATTCAGCAATTCAGAGATGAGAATGAAAATCAAGGAACTCATATTTTACTCTGTTAAATAGGATTTAAAGCACCCATTCAAAATCTGAGTCATTGGATCTTCATCCAACGATTATAACCGTACCCACTGCGTGAATGCCTGAAAAAAGTCACTGGATCTCACATCAAACCCTAAAAAACGGGGATTGTCACAATATTTTATAAATTTTGAATATGAATCCTGTGAAGGCCAATTCAGATACAATTGAAAAAGGAAAAACTCCAACAGCACAGTAAATTATGAAGGTAAAAGAAAACCCGAAGCTTAAGGAAATTGTCAAAGCTAATAACCGTAGAGCAAAATTGAAATAAATCAAAGAAAATAACAACTAATGGATCTGAAGAAGAGAGAGGGTAAAAAATGAACCTGAGTCTGTGTGCTATGGTATTGGTGCATCCAGAAGGCTTTAGGCTGTCATCACATAATACATGAACTATCTAGTGTTATATTTCTCTTCCACCTCACACTTTATTTTTGTTTTAAAATTACTCTTTTTTTTTTCCTCTATTTATTTAATTTATTCAACTTTATCCTAAAATCTTAAAAAATTGAAGTAAGAGAGATGCATCCGAATGAGAGTTTATAGCATAAAAAAAATTTATAATTGTAGAGATATAATAACTTCTAAACTTTTATAATATAAATTTTAGTATATATTTACATCATATAAATTTATAAGGTACTATCGGTGGTGGATATTTTAAGAATGAAAAAAAAGAGTATATATATATATATATAAACCAATTAAAAATTATTAATTTAAAACCCTACCATTTCTGAGTGTTCTCAATTATAAACTATTTCAAATACCATATAATAATTCAATCACATATTTTTAGGAATCTAGTAAGTCTATCAATAAATATATAAAAAAATTATCATCATACTTTATAATACACTTAAATGGAATAATTTAATATATATTATATAATTAATAAAAGGGGAAATATATATATATATATATATATATATATATTTATAAAGTTTTATAATATTTTAAATGAGAATTTAAATTTTTAAGAATAATATAATTAATAAAAAAAACATAAATTATAAGATTTAAATAAATCAAACTAAAATTAATATAATTTTTTAATGTTTAATAAATAATTAATTATGTATATAGTCTCATAAGTAACATTTTTTACATAGTCTTTCATATGATATTTTTTTTTTAAGTTATTGAATTTGAACATTATATTTAAATTTATGATATTTGTAAAGCTATCAAAATTGACTAGATTTAATAAGTTGATCCACTTTATTAGATCAAATTAGACTCTTTATTTTAAGGTCTTAAAATAATCAAGTTAATTTGATTTATAATAGTTCAATTAAATTAAGTTGGACCAATAAAAATTAGGTCTAAAAGATATCAATTATTTGGTCTCATGTTATTTTTATATATTTTATTTATTTTAAGTTACATATGAAATTATTAAAAATAAATAATAGTTTCTAAGTTATATATATATATATATATATATATTAATTTAATTATATTTAAATTAATATTTCATATAACTTAAAAACTAAATTGAACTAATTAAATGATTAAAAATTAAAAAAAAAATTTATTCATTTTTTACTTCAATTTTTTTCATAATTTTTTTTTGTAAAAGACATCATACATTATATATTATTTATTTATTTAGGATGTATTTTCTTCTTTTATCTTACAATCTTAGCATAAATAAATAAAACAAAATTTCATTGTACTAATAGTTTTGAGATTAAATTATAATTTTATAATTTTATCCTTCTATTTATTTTTGAGATTTAATTTGTCATTATTTTTAAATGATTCAATTTAATTCTTTAATTTATTTTTAAAAAATTGATAAATATTACTTTTTCAACTAAATTAATACTAACGATATTCAATAAAATTAAATAGAACAGAAATAATTAATATTGTTAGAAATAAAATGACTAAATTAACTCACTTAAAAAAAAGATAGATCCAATTGAACATTTCAAAAATAAATGACCAAATTAAATAATAATTTATTCAAAAAAAATTATAATTATTTTTTAACAAGATAAAATTTAATATTATTTTACCTATTTAGTATTTTTTTATTAAACAACTCTTTCATTTTGTAATCATATTTATGTATTCCAAATTTTTAAACACTAAATTTGTTTTCTTTCATGACATAATTAAAGATAATTAAATTTGTTTTCATAAATCTTATTATATTTTAATTATTATCTTAAAAAATAGATTGAATCATCTCGCCTAATTGGACATATTGATACTTGATAGCCAATGTGGTGACTGGTCCAGTAGTTTTTTTCTTTAAAAAAAAAAAAAGTTCTCTTATCAAAACTAGCAAGAATTTGTCAAACTAATATAAAATCTCAAAAAAAAGAGAGGAAATTTTAAAAAGATATATTTATTTATGGTTTTAATTTAATATTAAATAATTTAAAAATAAATAAATATAATTATTCCAGTATTACATATATAAAAATTATTTTGTCGATTATGATTCAATATATTCTTTTTATTTTTAAAATGTTTAATTTCATTCTTCTATTTTTAAAATATTTATTTTGATTGTTCTATTTTAAAATATTTAATTTGATGTTTCTATTTTTAAAATGTTTTAATATGTTCTTTTAATTTAAAAAAAAATGATAAATATTATTCTTTCATATGATTTCGTTAATGTTATTAGTGTCAACTTGTACCAAATAGTAACATTGAATATTTTCTAAAAAATTACAAATTAAATCATCTAAAAATAATGAAATTAAATTAAATATTAAAAATAAATAGAAGGGTCAAAATATGCAAATTAGCCTAATTTTAATTAGATGTGTAGAAAAGTCAAATTATAGTATTATATGTTTTTCATAAAATATAATATAAATATTTAATAAATATTTTTGGTATTTTTATTTTAATTAATAGAGTTGTATTAATAATTATTTTAATTATTTGACATGTTTTGGAATATTATATAAGATGTTTTAATTAAAGATTTCAATTAAATATCTTATTTTAATTAAATAAGATGAAAGAAATTTATAATTAAAGTTAACAAGTTTTAGCCAAAAGGTTGAAAAAAGGTTAAGTTTTAAAAGAAATATTCACTTCTTTCAATTTGGTATCCACTTTTTGGAAGATAGTTTTATCCTTATTTTACATTCTATTTTTTTCTTCACTAATATATCTCTTAAGGATTAAATGGAAAAAAATTGTGTGTATAAAAATAAATAATCTTTAACTCTATTAATAATAGTTACTTTTTTTTTTCAAGAAGATACAAAATGTCTTTATCATGCTAGTTTTTTTTTTTTAAATATGAATTGTTAATTAGTTAAATTATAAAATTGTTAATTAGTTAAATTGCTAGTTATATATATATTTTTTCCCATAAAGACTCAAATTGTTAAATTAAGAAAATAATTATTAAAGTATAAAAGTTAAGGTTTGAACTTTAAACAAAAGAGCACTAAAGCTTCTATAGATGAATGATTGCCCCACAGCCACTTCATATTTCTTGCGCTTGCGGCCAGATACATTCTGTTGTTCTTTAGAGTGCTTCAAGGGGTTCCCATGGAGGATCAACTTATCCCATTTTTTTATGCTATGTTCAAAAATTCAATAAACAAACAACTTTAATTCTTTATGCATGGGGGCTACCTAGATCAATATCCACTCCTTTCAATTCTTTTATATAAATATCAAATTACTAGTTTCACTTAGTTTTTTTTTTTTATAACTAATTTAAAATATTTTTTGTATTAATTATCTTTTCACATAATATCTTTAATTATGAGTTTTTTCCTTTCTTTCTATACTCAATAAATACTTTTTTTATGACTATTGTGAGCTCAATATCTTCGTTTATAAGAGATAAAATAACATTTCATTTTTTCTCTTCAATCATGAATTTTATGTCCCAATGATAATAGAAATCTTCAAGAATCATACTTCTTGAAATTCGACTTTTCATATACATACATTAATAATTTTGGGTTGATTTCCTAGCACATCTATCTTATTCAAGGGTTTTCCATTACATGATATACTCTGAAACGATTAAATTAGAAAATTATAGTATCTACTTTATGATTTGACTTATTATTTGTCTTTTTAAATTCATATAATATATATTATGTCCTGCCTCTTCTTAGTTTACAGAAATTAATTTTACCATACCCGGCACTTCAATCCATGCAATGCAACATAACAGTGAAAGCATGCACTAAATCCAGACACAATAAGAAGTTGAATACAACCAGGTAAAACAAATGACAAATACAAATTAGTGGCAAACTAAAATATTAAATATCAACATAGTAAACACAAATGATGGTGGTTTGAGTTTCTTAAACAAGTTATCTAAAATTTGATTCTTGATTTTGATATAAAATAAACTATATAAAGAAAAAAATATCTACCCGGACACTTATAATCTCCAATAAACATTAATCATTGTTGTTAACTCTTTGCACAAATATCATGATTGCCGAATAAGAAAAAAAAAACTAAAAATCTAAATGCATAAGACTACTGACTACACAATGGTTCTTCATAATGAAACGAAAATCCAACTTGGTAACATTTTGTAGTTTCTAGCATGTGAATTGGTTAACACTTAACACTGTTCACTGCACATGTACAGTGAGTTGAAGAAGTGATTGGTTTCCCAAGGTATGTGGGTTTGTCATCCCCTGCCATGATCACAAGTATCCTAGGCTCATACTCAACCTCTATGTTCTGGGGTATTGCTTCTTCGGTTTCTTCACCTTCAGCTGAAGACTCAAAAACATGTTTTCTTTGGGAGCAAATAAGGATCATGAGTGCCACAGAAATCAGAATCATCACCAGAGATAAGCCTCCAAAGAGGTAAGGAATTGGAGAATTCCAGCTCCTAATCCCATTGGCTGATGATGATGAACTACTTATTGGCCCCATAATCCTGCTTCAATAGGGTGTTGAAATTAATGGTGCAATTGAAGTGAGGTGGTGATGCCAGAATTTATAGTAGAAATGAAACATCTTTATTTACAAAAGTACCCTGTTGGAATTCAGGAAGATTCCTTTTTATGCTTGAATAGATGCCTCATGCCGAGGTCAAAAGTGCAAAACATTAATCATTTCGAATCTCAAACGTGCCTAATATGAAATAAGCACTAAGGAATTGTACTACAACTTCTCTGCTTTTCAAAATTAACACAACTTTTCTCCCATTTTTGGCTTACCAAATCTTGTTACCACACCAAGTAATTGCCAAGCTCAAAAGTAAGTTTTATCGTACGGCTAAATGTTTTGCTATATTCTCTAGTGGTGAATGTTAAATTTTAATGGGACTAGAGATAAAGATGGGAGCACGAGAGGGTAAAGATGGATGTGTGACGACATAAAGAAATGACAGTATAATATAGTGTGTATAGGGAGATATTGAGGAAAAGATGACAGAAAATTGGTTGAAGTTATCGGTGTTGTGAAAAGCACAAGTCTTACATCGGTTTAGTTAAGCCCATGTTATAAAATGGTATCGCAATCAATCATATATCAATTAAAAGGCTCATTTACTACTTATCTATATACCAAAGTTTAATAATACTAAGTATCAGAAAGTATATTGCAAAAAAAAATTTAAATCTCATATCGAGTAAAAATAAGGTCAAAATCAAGTATATAAATAGAGAATAATTCTTACCTTATAACTTGATTTTGTAAAGTTGAATTGGATTCAAATCTACTTTCTAAAAGCCGGAAAAGTAGATTGCATGGTTTTTAACTCCCATTAAAATGATAGAGGGAAGCCAAGAAGAATGTTGGGAAAAATTGTTAATAGAAATTTCATGTTGAATATTATTCCTAGAGAATTTAGTCATTAATTAAGTCCGTTTGTGAGTTCTGTTTCTATGAAATCATTAAATCAACCTCACCTAGTCAGATAAGACTTTGGTTGTTATTTTTGTTGCTGTTATTGCTGTTCTGGTTTACCAAATAACATGCAGGCCTAAAGTTGTTGTTTAAAATTGTTCATGTGCAGAAAGCAGAAGTTTCTCAAACCAAAATATGGGAAGAGGCGCATAAAAAACGTTTCATCTCTTGGGAGTCACTAACTATAAGGTAATCTTGTTGATGATAAATATCAACCTTACCCATGTTTGCTCACCTTTGGTAAATCAACAAGATATATTGCCTAACTCCAGCAGTTTCTAACTTTCCAAACACCGGAAAATCAAGAGGGGACAAAAGCAAAATATCTTTCGGTTGTGTTATGCAACGGAATTAAGAATTACTAGTTATGGCAGCTTGCAAAATCTTTATTATATTCCTCTTTTTCTCAACCACATGATCATATGCGGCTAGGGGTTGCAGTTTGTTGTTGCCTCAACATTTATTTTTATTTTTAGTAATCATGGTATTAATATGAAGTATTCACCATACAAAGCAGTAACTAGTCTCTATCTAAGATCATGAACGCATGCAAGATAGAAATTCCCCTCCCAACATGATTTATTTCACACCTAAGGTTAAGGTTTGAATCCTAAATAACTTGATTAATAAAGACAAACTGCTACCATTTGTATCGACAAGTTTTAGTTGCTTCAACCTCTGGTACTATGTGATTTGTGTGGCATCTATTTAGTTCCAAATTGAAAATTTTCAAGAATATTTATGATCATTTACATACTTAAAGACATGTAGTTAAGGCTACGGTTTATCTATTTTGAGAATAGAACAAAGTTGATATAAACAGAATGTGTATTCAAGTGTTTGAGTGTGTCTGTGTGGCTAACAACTTCTAGCAAAATGAACATGACCCTTCAAGAATTTGATATAAACAGTTTACAGTGGTGTTGAAGTGGTCCAACACTCCAACTCCCAATAGTTCTCTATTCATAGCTCTTATCTTGAAATTATCTGCATAAAGGCTAGAACTCTTTTCTTCCCGTATTAATGACCCTTCTATTCATAGTTCTCTATTCATAGTTCTTACCTTGAAATTATGTGCATAAAGGGTATAACTCTTTTCTTCTGTAATTTTATTATATTTTACTTACCTTTTATATATATATAAAAGACAATGAAAATAATATATATATATATATATATATATATATGTATATAACAT